TTTCGTAAAGGTCAGTATCGTTACTTCATTTTCGTTTCTTGGCACTAGGACACTCTAAGTTGGTTCCCTATTTGTGTATTATCGGGTTCCAAAAAAGCGGGTCAGCTGGCCTCTTTAGTATACTCAGGTGATGTATGACTTTAAATTTATAACTTTGAAGTTCTGCTTTAAGTCTACTAAACCAAACATCTGATTGCCTTGCTGAGTAAAAATGTTTCAGAGGTTCATGACCCGTGATCACTGTAAACTTGCATCCATATAAATAAGGTCTAAACTGCTCATTAGACTGAGGGTTGCACCCAGCGCCTAGTCTGATGCATCTGTTATCACGGTGAATGATTTTTCTAAATCTGGGATGATGAGTACAGATCCACTGTACAGTGTATCTACGAGGATTCTGAACGCCTCCTCCTCTTGGTTGCCCCATTGAAATCTGGTGCCCATTATTTAAAGTCTTTATAGAGGTTGAAAAATTTGTAAATAATTTTTAATAAACTGCTTTCTAGTACCCTAAAAATCTCAGACACTGTTTTACTTTTTTTACGTTGGTCAGTCAAGGGTAACTTCTGGCCACTTAAACTTTTCCTACAGTGCAATCTAGAAAGGGTTCAGTAGTGAGATTTGCAGCTGCCAGCCGTTTTAACAGTTTCATAGATTGTTTTCCGTGTTCTTAAGGTTCGGGGCAAAAACCATTATGTCATCAAGCTACACTCCCATTTAATGACCTTTTAACCCTCGAGTGCTTATGCAATTGCCCTTAGAAATGTGTTTGGCCCCATTAGTATCCTTATGTATTGATAATGCTCGTCTGGGCCCAAAAACACCGTTTCATGTCCAGCATCTTTGGATGTTTCTACCTGAAAAACTCCCGATTGAAGATCCATTATAGTGATGTAACGTACCAATGCTAGGTTCTCTAAGATGTCTCTCTGAAACAGTAGCGGGTAACATGAACCTACTATGACTTCGTTAAGGAGTCAAAAATCTGTGACTGATCTGAACCTTTTTTCATTGTTTGGCCCCGGTTGTTTTGCTACTATTAAAGTATTTGAGCTATATAGGAAGGTAAAAAGCGTGATTATCTCTTGTTCCAGCATTTTTCTCATTTCGATTTTTATTTTAACTCTCTTGAAGCCTTTCTGTTGTTTATTAACACAAGTAGTTTTCGACATTCTTCAACCAAATTCCCGATTTAGCCGTTGCATTATATACAGCCTCATTCGTTTGCTGCTACTGCTTCTTGTGTCTCACTAGTGACTTCTTCCATGTTCTCTCCTTTCCGTGCAAGGTTGACAAGTGGTCACCACTCAGTAGTTGCATTACTGTACGTAGGCTGCGTACTAGTCCTTACTAGTATTACGAACCGTAAACTAAGGTCGCTTTTGATTTTCAGTGATTCTATTATTGCTTCACAGAGGGTCTTCGGGTTAAAACTTGTAACTCTGCACCTTAATGTTCGATGCTAGCCGTAAGTAAAGTGTTTAATTGCCTCCACTTTCATGATTTCTTTCATGACTTGTTAAAGTTATACTTCTATAGGTGCGTAATGCGTGAAGGTAAATTAACAATTTTAGATTTGTGGCCTCGTAAAAAAGTGTGATGGAAGTAGATTTTTCTTGATTCTTCCCCCTTTTTCCCACCTCCTGTGACGTACTTTCAGTCTCCCACAATACACAACGCCACCACACCACACGTTTTGAATTAAATGATTTATTATTTCTTTTTGTATTAACCAATTTCTAAAAAAAGTAGCTAGTTTCCAAAGAAATTTGAACCCCCAACCTTCTTTACGATGGCCGAGGCCCTTAGAGCGGTCCCAACATAGAAAATTCGATAACTGCATGTTATGATGTAGTTCGTTACTTATTTTTTATATAAATTTTCGTTTACTATAGAATTATTTATTTGGTTTTATTATAAATTAAGAAAATTAATAATTTATTTATTACAATCAATTTTTAAGATAGATGTTTTTTCGAAAACTTGGAAATCAATATATTTTAGCAGAGCAACTTTCCTGTGTATTAATAAACATTTATTTACTTATCATTGATTTGTTACTTTCAGAATAAATATATAATTGTTTATACAATTCTTGCTTATTTTTTCAAAATTTTCAAAAATTGAAAAATAAATTTTCTGTACTATACAAATACAATAATTA